GGCATGGTAGATGAAGTTGGCCAATTGTAACTTAAGAGTAATTTTGTGAACTTTATAGGTTGAACGGGAATCTTATAAGTAATTTAAAGTAAGACTACTTAACACAGAAGATTCAGAATGAGGGAATCCTAATTAGAGGCTTCTGGTCAAAAGCCCCAGGCCATTGTTCTTCTAGGTAACTGGTCCATCTGCTCAGGAAGTTTAAACTTCCTGTAACTTAAACCTATTCAGAAGACAACCTTTTTGAACTCTGTATTTTCTTCCTAAGCATTGAGCATACAATGGCAATAAGTTTGTGATCCATCTTGCTATATCACTATGAAAAACTATTTGATCAACTACTGACACTTGGCAATGTTTAAGGAAACCTTCAGTATATTTCTTTTGCGGAAATTCCAAGGAAATTAAAATTAAAATTGAAATAGTATATTTTATCAAATGCAATGTTAATTCATATTGTTAGCTATCCCTGTGGAGTTTTGATTGCCAGTTTATTTCACTTGGAATTTTATTCCAGTGCACATAGAGACACAATTCCAATTTTTTTTTTTTTAATTGGAAAAGGTTGTTAACAGAAACAAAAAATCTTCCAGAAACATTGTTCTTGGCCCATCATATAAAAGGCCTCATTTATTATATCTTCCATTAGATTCAAATATAGATTATTAGTTCCAACTATTGAAATACAGCATACACAGTACAGAAAACAGTAACTAGGAAAACACTATGCAGGTCTTTGGTGTAGCTTTAAAAAAAAAAGTACCATTGAAATAAGAGGCTGACAACAGCTGCATATCATTTCCAACTTGACCTTCTTCTTGGCCTTGGAGGTTTTTTTGTGACTGTTTTAAGTTACATTACACAAAGGTTACACCTGTAACAAATTACACATGATGCCATTTTAAATTTTCCCTACCAGAGTGTCATGAATATTTATATATGAAATGTCTGTAATTTCATTTGTATCTATGGTTTAACTGAAAGCCAACCTGCTCTGGAGTCCTTGGAGAACTCTGCAAATTTTAAAAAGTTGCAAAGAACTCCCCACCCCCACCAGAAAATTTATCAAGCAGTTATCAATGCTGGGCTGTTTCATTGTGTCATAGTATATAGTATTGTTTTTTATTTTCCAATATATTGTTTGGTTTTATTGCTCCTGTAAGTGTATGTCTCCCTCATAAAGTCCTCTTCCACATCCAAAGGGCTATCTATGTTTAAGTCTTATTAGAAATCTGTAAAACTTATCCCACAATATTTAGAATGTGAACAAGATGGGCCCTGTCAGTAATAACTGAAACAAAAATAAACAAAAATCAAAGTCATCCTGGAATCTCAAGCTGTGTTTTAAAAAAAACAGAACCCACATCTTCATTGGCAGCTCATGATATCAAGCTACATGCTAAATGAATCCATCTACTAAATGATCATTTAAGAAACCTTATCCTAAATCTTTTTTTCCAATATTACAAAGCCACGAATAAACTGCTTTGCCATGGTTTTTTACAATGACATCCATGAGCAAATGCCCGATGAACTTGCAAAACTTGTTCCTTTTGCATTTTGCAAATTGCTCATTAAATGCCTAATGCAACTTGGATCTTAGCATCTTTTTTGTAATGTGGTGACCAAAACTGGATGCAGTATTCCACGTGTGGCCTTACTAAGGCTTTATAAAGTGGTACTAACATGTGGTTTTGGCTCTTTGCTTCTGTTTATACAAGTACTGTATCCTTGGTTGCCTATTCATGTCTCTCTTTCCCTATTTATGAGTGTCTCTTAACCCGTTTTTATCAATTGTGCTTTTTTTATGCTTGTTGAAATTTAATAAAGAAATAGCAAGCTGTAAAAAAGAAGACCCTTAACTTGCAAAGGAGGGGGTGAGAAGCTTAATTAATACCACCTTTTGGATCCAGAGCAAGGCATCCAATTGCAGTTTTCTAGGAAGGTTGGGGAAGTGGCAGAAACTGAAACTGGCAGCTTTTCTTAAAAAAAAAAAGGTGAGTATGCGAAAAGACTCCTCATCGGATAGAACCTAGCCATTGCTTGATATAAAACATGGGCATTTGCCAATATTTGGCCAATAACTGCCCATAATGAATAGCCACAGGTTGCCCAAATTTGCTAGAAAGCAGGAATATCACACAAAGTTAATTTCATACCCCCTCCAAGAAAAATGAGACTATATTCCCCGACATAGATATCCTGCCCTGTCCTCCCCCTTCCAATTTCCTTCAATGCTCTACTGACTGCTATTGCATGAGTAGTTGAAATGACAGCTCCATGTTAAAGCCCCACCACCACCCGGTAGCAATTAGCTAACCTTGTCTGATCTTGAAAAACCCACGCAGTGTCTGACTGATTGGTATTAGGACAGGAGGCACCAGGAAACTTATAAACTCTGAAATCTAGAAAACACTCCAAATGAACTCAATGGGAACCCACTGTATTGTTGCCAAGAAAACAACCTGGATATTTATTTATTTGATTTGTCAATTGCTTATAAGATAATAGGTATAAGTATAAACATGAGTAAGAATACAGGAAATAGGTATGAATAAATGGGGGCAAAAGGACAGGGATAGCTAAAGAAACGATGATTGCTTGGGGGAAAATTTTTGGATATGGGATTGACTTAAGAGAAATGGCAAAAAATGTGGTCTCAAAATTATAAAATGACAATGTCAAGAAAATATAAAGAAAATTTGTATAAGATGTTTTACAGGTGGCACTTACCCCAATGAGAATTGCGAGAATGTTCAAGAATAAATTGGATAAATGTTGGAAATGTCATCAGATACCTGGTTCATATTACCATATGTGGTGGACATGCTCGGATGCAAAAAGATATTAGACTATAATCCACATATGGTTGGAAAAAATGATAAAACAACACATAGACTTTAAACCAGAGATATTTTTATTGGGAATTATACTGGAAATATACAACAAAGAATTGAAATATTTGATTGTAAATCTTTTAACAGCGGCTAGAATTGTATTTGCTAAGAATTGGAAAAATGAAAAAATACCTATGCAGGAGGAAATTATTAAGAAAATCATGGACTGTGCTGAAATGAGTAAATTGACATTTGAAATTAGAGAACAAGAAGATAAACAATTGTGTATGATATGGGATTTGTTTTATCAATGGTTAGATAAAAAGACATGGTAAAGAAATAGATTAGGAAGTTTTACAATAAAATATATATAAAATATATAACCATTGGATGAATGTATAAGATTAAACTATAATGAAACTAAGAATATCTCGCATAAAATGGTGGAAAAATAGTTTAGTCAAATGAATGATTAATGATTGATAAATACATAAGCATATGTTAGATTGGCAAGGTAAGAATTTATACAACTTGTGAGTAATGGCTAAAAAAAAGGATAGCGCAAAAGATTGTAAACAACTGACACACTGTATGTATATAATTGAAAGATGGTTTTATGTTTTTATGTTTTGTTTGTATGTTTGTTGTAAAAAATAAAAACTTTTGGAAAAGAAAAGGACAGGGATGGTAGGCACGATTGTGCACTTAAGCACGAAGACATCAGAAGTCAAGTTCAACTTGAAGATTTACCTTTTAGGATGGTGCAGTCCTTTGGATTCAAACTGATGCTTTGGGGTGTGCTGGGTGCAAATGTAGCACCCGCCTGCAAATCTTTAACCATGAACTAACCGTACAGCAACAAGAGTAGGCCATAAAATAATTTAAAGCAACCAGGAAGATGATTGCATGATTTCTCCCAGTTATAAAAATGCCATTGGAAAAATCAGAAGGCTGAGTACAACTTACAGTTTTTGTACTACAGCCATACGGAAAACCACCTTAAGCCATTATTAAACACTGGAACCAATGTAGGACTGACCCTCACTCACGATTCTTTGTAACTATTCCTTCTAGCCAAATGAGGGCGCAGGAATGCCCTGGGAGAGATGGATAAAGCAAGTTTCCTTTCTATTTTCAACTCTCTTGGCTGAGTGTAAAGGAGAGGGTGAAAACAAAAGCATAGTTGAGGGATGGGGAGCAAAGGTGATTTCCTGTTAGGCTGCCTCTTGCAGGGAACTCTGTTGCCCTCCTTGGCTGGTTTCCACCTTCTGTTTGGGTGGGAGGGTGTGCATTGGCGGTGGCTTCATTTTCAGCCATGTCCCCCCCCCCCCTCACAGATCAGTGGGGAATGAAGGGGGGATCCAAGGGTGGGAGAGTGGGGACGATGGAGGTGGCAGCAAGGGGAGAAGAAGGTCTGCTTTCTATTTGTTCCTTGGAGATCAAAAGCATCTGGATCCATGTGGAAAGAGCTTCCTTTGGCCGCTAAGTGAAAGTTTTCCCAAAGATGGTTTTTTTTTGTTTTTTTTTTGGTGGATGGATGGGGAGGAAAGCCAGGACAAACGAAAAGCGTCTTTAAAAGACAAAAGAGGGCAGGTTTGAGGGATTTATAAGGCAAACTATGAGCCGCTTCTATTGTTGAGGAGAAAGAGGTAAGAAGAAGCAGAAAGTTGTAAAAAAAAAAAAGAATACTTTAAGTTAGAAAAAGAACGACGACAACCCACCCACCCCCTTAAACTCCCTGAGGAATTTAAGGCTGGTTTGAGAGAGGAGCGGGAGGATTAAGGTGCTTTTTCTAAACCAAGTTGCCAGTTAACCTCAGCCTGGAGTGGGACTGTCCCCACGTCTCGTTTTCGGGCAAAACCAGAAGCTCCTCAGAAAACCGGCGCAAAGCGAGCAAAAGAAGCGGCCGCTTTCCAGACAGATAAACAGAAAGGGGCGGGGGAGCGCCTGGCCGGGAGGGAAGCGGAGGCAGCCTCAGGTCAGGTCGGTCCTCTCTCCCGTCTCTCCTCCGAGCCTCCCAGGAAAAAGGGAGGGGGCCGGCAGGGAGGGAGGAGGGAAAGTGGGGGGGTTGCGGGTGCGGCTGGAGAAGGGAGGTGGGGCTCTCCGGCCGGGAGGAGGTGGTGGGGAAAGAGCGTGAAAAGGCAGCGGCGCGATCCAGTCACACATCAAGCGAAGCCGGGCTCGTCCGCCGGCGCGGACCTGAGGTCGCACAAGTGAAGTGGCGCGCGCCTCGTCTTCCTCAAGAAACTTCTCGACCTCTCGCCTCTCCCGCACCGCAACTTCTTTCACTCGGCGTCTCTAGCCCGCTGCTCCCACTGCCCGAGCCTCGCTTTTTTCCCCGAGCCTGGAGTGGTGGTGGGTGGTGGTGGAGGTGGGGGGGATCGCGACCTCGCTCCCCGCCCGAGCTGTGCGCGAAGGTTTGGGAGAGGCTCCCCCTGCCAGCTCTCGGCACGCCCCCGCCGCGGCCAGACTATTTGTAGGACTCGCCCAGAGAGGATTCCCCGAGCAGTTGGGCGGCCGGGGGAGGAATCCAGCGGGCTTCGAAGCGGGGTGGAGGGAGAAAGATGTCTCTGGGCTGCGGCCACGGCTCTGCGAAGATGCTGCTGCCTCCGTCCACTCTGCTGCTTGCCCTGGCCGGGCTGCTGGCTTCCTGGGCGCCTCCGGCACGGGGCGCGGCTTGCGAGCCGGTGCGCATCCCCCTGTGCAAGTCTCTGCCCTGGAATATGACCAAGATGCCCAACCACCTACACCACAGCACGCAGGCCAACGCCATCCTGGCCATGGAGCAGTTCGAGGGGCTGCTGGGCATTCACTGCAGCCCGGACCTGCTCTTCTTCCTCTGCGCCATGTACGCGCCCATCTGCACGCTCGACTTCCAGCACGAGCCCATCAAGCCTTGCAAGTCCGTCTGCGAGAGGGCCCGGGCCGGCTGCGAACCGGTCCTCATCAAGTACGGCCACGCCTGGCCGGATAGCCTGGCCTGCGACGAGCTGCCGGTCTACGACCGAGGGGTCTGTATTTCCCCCGAGGCGATCGTCACAGCGGAAGGATCCGGTGAGTCGCCTTCAGTTTCCTCCCCAGCCACCACCCTGGGATCCCTGGCCCTGCCCTTTTGCTCCTTCTGACATTTCCCTTCCACCTCCCTAAGCCTGGCTAGAATTGGGACCATCGGGTGTTTTCTGGATCCCTGGAAATTGACTTCCAAGTTCAGAAGTCCACCACCATCTTATCTAGAGGCCCCTTGGACAAATGAAATGGGGGTGGGGAGGTGGAGAAACTATAGACTTGCTGTGTTAGATGAGGGTGGGGAATGTGTACCATGAGGGAAGGGGGAAATACATGTGGGTAAATATGCTCAGAGTTACTTCTCCCTAAGATAACCTGTAGAAGTCCTCCTCAACAAAACATCATTGTCTCAAGTCTGCTGGTCTTTCCCCAATTACCCATCTTTTCCTTGATTGCAAATAAACCTTTGTACTTCTTTCATATTTCTAGGCCTTATTTTCTATATGTGCCCACAACTTAAGCAGCAGTCTCTTGTTCTGGCAATCATTTGAGTTCCCAATCTTGCCCATCAAACTCTTTTGATCTGTGTAAAAGCAAGCCAATTCCTCTCTAGTACTTTGTAATCGTCTAACCATGCTTACACCTTTGTGTAGCCGCAATGATGCTGATTTACTCTGTAAATCTCTAGTTTGGAAAACAAACTTAATCATAAGAACTATGAAATGATTAATCTACTTTTCAAATCCTTATCTATCATGCCTGATACATCTCAACAGAGATGAGGAACCTGCGAGGTCTCCAGATGTTATTGCCTGGAGCTAATGAGGGTTAGCCTCTAGCAGCAATTAAAGCAATTAAGTACCTTTAATTTTCTTGTTCTACGCATAGGGGTGTTTTTCCATTTCCAGTGTGTAACCATGATAATTTGCTTTATCTGGTGTTGGTAAACTACAATTCCAGCAAACCAGGTCTTCTGATCTGACTCCATTATTGCCTTTCCATTCCATAATCATAGCTTCTCCAGAAGCCTGCAACCTCCTCTACTGTCCCATATTCTGTTCTCTGTCTGAGTTATTGTAAAACTTGTGTAGCAAAAAAAAAAAAAAGCTGAAAGAAAAACCTTAGTCTTTGGACTCTGTTCTCAGGCAATACTTTCTTTGTGATCATCTAAAAATGCTTGTTAGCTTTTTCTTGGTTCACTCAAAATGTTACAAAAATGTATTTAAGTCTGCAAGGGAAGGGAAGAAGAGATAGTACCAGCTTTAGTAGAGTTGTGTTCTCTAAGTCCACTGGAAGATAAAGGACACTTAACAGTTTGTCCACAATTGTAGACATTGTTGCTTGCCCATGCTTGCAGGTTTCTTTTCTGTTGGATGAACTAAGATAATTGGTCTTATGTATGAACTGAGCATTTGCTTAGTATTGAAGCCGATTGTATGGTCTTCTATGAAAAGAAATAAGGATCCTAGTTTTCATTTGCTGTGCGTCTGTCCCTAGGCTGACAAAATCAGTTTCCCCAAAGTTTTTCTTTGCAAAACGCTAATTTATTGTTAGGATCTTGTGTGTTTTCTTTCAAATTTATTTTGGCAGTGGTTCTGGAAAACGCTAGGGCTGAAGATGCTAGAAAAATGAAATGGCTGGATTCTGTTTTGAGAACCTCCATCCTTCTGCGGCTTCCTTTGCTGCTCGTACTTCTTGATCTGAAGGAGTTCCAGAGATGGAATAGGTTCTTGTTTTTCCTTGGATTCTAGTTAAAGCCAGGGAGGATGCATATCCATGAAGAGGTGGCTGCACAGTGGAATTAGAATAATGGCACGCATACCTCTTGGCCACTTTGTAAATCAGGTGGCTGCACAACACTTCTCAGCTACACATGGCATTTCACAGATATTGTCTTGGGTTTTTTTTAACATTCAATTAAAACTGGGTTTCACCACCTTGGCAACTTTAAGATGGATGGACTCCTGGGAGTTGAAGTCCATGCGTCTTAAAGTTGCCAGGATTGGGAAACCCTGCATTAGGATGCAGTTCTAGTCCCACCTTGGTCATGAAGCTATCTGGGTAATCTTAGGCCAGTCACTGTCTCTCAGCCCTAAGAAGAAGGCATGGGCAAAACACTTCTGAAAATCTGACCAAGAAAAGTATAAGGATTAGCCTTGGCAGTTGCTGGAAGTGAGTGGTGACTCAAAGGTATATACACACAAAAAGCATCATTATTATTGATTGTATTTTAAATTGTATGACAAATATGTTAACACATCCTGCCTGGAATTACAGAGCAATGTAGAGGAAATGTAAGCATTTTAAATAAAGATTAATGGATAATTACATTGTTCAAAGGGTATAAAATAGAATATTGTATGTGAGTGCATATATTAAAAAGGAAATAAAGCTTCCTTTACATGGTAGTTAAGTGAACAGGTTTTAAATGTTTCCACTACACAAATTTGTGAGTTACTTAATTTTCTTAATGAGAGAATGTTTATGCATATTATTCTTCGTTTGCAGCCTAATCTAGTCGAAGTGTCTCAGATTTGTGTACCAATCCCATAAACTATCTCAATCTTCTCCATTTCCATGTCAACTTACTATTATCCTCAGTCCCTTTGGAAATGGAATAGAAATTAGGAAACAGTTGATGATTTCTGCTCAGAGGCTATGAGAGCATTTGAGACTCCAAGAGAAATGTGTGTTGGAATCCAAAGGTAGCTTTTGTGACCAATTACTAACTTACCATATAGGCTTAGTAAGAAGATCAGGAGGGTACTTACCTATGTCTGCTATAGGCAGAGCCTACCATAATTAAACGAGAGATTTGAGAAATTCCATTTGGCAAATCTTGATCCGTGATGATAAAGTAACCTTTTCAGGATTGGCTACTCATTGGTGTAACTTTTCTCCTTGCATTTCTCCAGTATGTTTAAATTGTTATGAGGCAAGATTGTAACAAACAACCAGAATGTCCCTGAGAGGGGCGGGAAATATCTTTGATGAGATCCTTCTTATGCTAATAAGTCTCCTGGCTGTGAGGCTCACCAGGTGATAGCATTGGCAGATAACCCTTAAAATTCCTTTACATCTTGGAGCAATGAAATTAAATGGAAGCCTTCAACTGCCAAGTATACTGAAAAACCAAGATTGTTTATATTAGCTGGCAGTGTAGTTTGTTTGCTTTGCTTAAGATTTCTAGGATGCAGTTTCTGGTATATCCTGCCATTGCCCAAAAGTTCCAATGAGAAGAAACCCTTTCCATACTGAAAAGGTGGGAAAATCCATAATCTCTCATATACAGGTAGTCCTCGACTTACGACCACAATTGAGCCCCACATTTATGTCACTATTTGTTAAGTGAGTTTTGCCTCACTTTGCGACCTTTCTTGACACAGTAAATCATTGCAGTGGTTAAGTTAGTCACAGGCTTGTGAAGTGAATCTGATTTACCCATTGACTTTGCTCGTTCAGGAAACTGCAAACGGTGATCACATGATCCCAGGACACTGCAATGGTCATAAATGTGAGTCAGTTGCCAACTGTCTGAATTTTGATCACATAACCGTGGGGATGCTACAACAGTTGTAAGTGTGAAAAAATGGTCATAAGTCACTTTTTTCACTGATGTTGTAACTTTGAATGGTCACTAAATGAACCAGGACAACCTGTATTGCCGAATTCCAAGCTCTCAGCTTGGAAGGCAGTGGAAGTTGTTGTTCAACAATATCTGGGACTCTATATAAGGTCTACATCCTTAATGTGATGAGGAATTGCTTGAAAGCCACCTGAGTTGACAGGAGCACTGGCAAAAGGATGCATGCCTTTCAAATAAGCTAGCTGAGCATAAAGGTATATCTATTAGCACAGCAAGAGCCATCTTGGTCTCGTGCAGAGGTGTCAAACTCACATCATCATGGCAGCATCATGTGACATATCAGGACTCCCCCCCACTTTGTTAAACTGGGTGTGGGTATAGCCAGCGTGTGATGCATCCGGCCCATGGGCTGAGAGTTTGACAACCCTGGTCTAGTGCTTAAGATGCTGGATGAAGAGTGAGGAAATTCAACTTCTAATCCTGTCTTAGACAGTGCACTTAAGAAGATGGCAGACTTCTGAAAATGTCGCCAAGAAAACCGCAGGGACTTATCCATGTAATGGATGCTTAGCTCTAGAGCAGGATCAAGCAATCCTGGGCATTTCAAATATGGCTCTATACCATTTTTGTGAAATAAAAAATTGTATTTTAGTTTTTTTTTAAAAGGATTTTCTAATTCAAGAATGGAGGAAAATTGCTGGATTTGAAAAGTCACAAGTATTTTCAGGCTTATACCTTACTCTTGTAAGGCTAGAGCACTCTGGATGCTCAAAATAAATGCCAAAAAAGTGTTCTATTTTACAGGGACTAAGGAAGTTGTCTGTATTGGCTTGACATTTGGCTTGCTAAATAGTTGCTATATTTCAGGCTTGGTTGTGCAGAAGGTTTGCTTTTCCATTATGCCAGGTTTTGGAATGGTTTGGGAACTATTCTGGACATTGTCTAAACACCTGAAAATTGAGATTTATTTGAAAATCTAGGCTAGCTTATGATTTGAAACAGTAAAGCTAGAAGAATCTTTATAAGAAAGGAAGGTATATATCACAAGAGAGATTTGGTCTGTCTTGTGGCTTTCTAAAAGTACATTGTACAACCAAACAGTGTGTTCCTAACTGTACCTTTTTAGTTCTACCTCACAGCTGAACTTGCACCTTCTGGCTCAGCTGAGACAATTGGGGCAGCCACCTCCCTCCTCAGGCTCATCCCACTCCCCATTCTTCATTTGCCTCGTATTTTGACAACTGGTCTTCAAGCTTCAGCCATTCTAAACCTCACTCCCCAGATCCGTCTACAGACAGAGTGTTGACTGTTGTTTCAGCTGCCTTGGGTTTGATACCTGCTGGGAAGCTCTGCGGGCAAGTGGTTTCGAATGGCGGAGTGGGGGCGGGGAGGGTGAATGTCTCACATTGAAGCCTCTGCAAAGGTCCACCTCCCCTAATCACAGAGGTGCTTCCCAAAGTGC